TCCCTCGGATACCTACCACTGTAGCATAGGCAACCAACATCCCAGCCGCCTAGTCCAAGTTGGATTTGCGGGTGTGCGAGGTAGGTATCTAATGCGGTTCATTTTCAGGAGATATTCCCATTTAGCCAAACTAAATACTAGTTAGTAGAATAAAAGTGAATGCCATCGATTTATTAGCTTAAAGGATCTGCGCTGCATATCCTTGGCTTGGTGCAGTAAACATTTTTACATTTCTTACAATTGGTTTGGTGCGTTTTAAATTTGCAAATAGTTTAGCTAGAGACTATTATGACAAAATAATGGCCTTTCACTTTTTAATTTTTTGAGTAGGTTTTCTTCTAACGAAATAAAGGTGATATTCTTGTCCTTTAATGACATTGAAATTCCAGTGTCATTAATAATTACTTGCGAGTAGGTCTCCTCATGGAATGCGATTAATTGCCCTACAAGTGCACTGTGGAACAATACCTTTCTTTTGTAACTAGCATCAGAAATTAAATGATATGCATTTGTGATACTTGGTCGTGGTTGATTTAATATCGAATTTAGTTTAGGAGAGCTTTTACGTTGCATATTTTTGAGTAGGTAGGCATATTATAAGGATATTTAGTCCAGGTTATAGGTATATTTTTTGACAAAAAAAATTAGTTACCAGTTAAACCGGCTTTTTCATGCAGGTGAAATGATTAGAAATTAGGGAAAAATAATTAAAACAGCTGAATTTTTCCGCGGGTGTCATCCCGGGGTTTGAAAGGAGTGGGAGGGGGTAGTTACAAAAGGAACGGCATTGTCGCGCTTCCAGTGCAGATAATCGCATTCCATTAGGAGGCCCGAGTAATTAATAATGAGACATCAATTTCAATGTCAGTATAAAACGACAAAATCATCACATTTATTTTGTTAGAAGAAAATCTACTCGAAAAAATTAAAAGTAAAAGGTCATTATTTTAGCTAAAGTATTTCCAAATTTAAAACGCACCAAACCAATTGAAAGAAATGTAAAAATTTCTATTGTATTAAACCAAGGATAGATTAAAGCAGCGCAGATCTTTTGAGCTAATAAATGCCATTCATTTTCATTCTACTAACTTATTTTTAGTTTGGCAAAGTGGGAATACCTGCTGAAAACGAACCGCATTAGATACCTACCTACCTCCC